GCTGGGCTCAGAGGGAGCGTCTGAGTGAGTCCGTGCGGGCCCTTTAGAGGAGCTGCTGGAGCTCCCGCAGCCTCCGAGACCCTCAGGGACAGTCCCCGCTGGTTTCACAGCTGGAAGTTGTGGGAACTTCTCTTCCCCGGCCTGGAGCCCTGGGCTGGGGGCCTGCTGTGGGGCTGGGACCCCTCCCTCCTCCAGGAAACCTCCGCCGCCGGGATTCCCTTCCAGGTTTCAACCGCAGCACCGGGTGTGGGCCCGCGGCCGCGTCTCCAAAATTCAGTCCCGATCTGCCCGCGTCTGCGCTCCTCCTACTGCTCTCGGTGCTTCTTCAGCTCCCTAGTTGTGGGGCTTCTGTGCAGCCAGGTCTCAGGAGGCTCTGAGTGATGGTGGTTCTGTATTTTAGTTGTAATTTTGATGTGGTTGCAGGAGGGGGCGGGTGCAGCTGTTATCTACGCCGCCATCTTGTTGATACTCTGTTTTTCTCTTTATAGTTTTCTCATGCTCTCTAATTTTAATTTGGATGCTGGACATTGTCATGACAGCTGACAGTGACAGGTGGTTAGCTGAGGCTGCCCAGGTCAGTTTACCTGACCCTGCACAGGTGCAGCCTGGGGGCAAAGCTGAGCATTTCTGGGTGCCTGACACATGTCAGGTACAGCCCCAGGTGTTCCTGCACAGCTCATTGCTGCAGGGTCCCTGCTGACATCAGGAAAGTGCCAGGAGGCCGCAAGGTACCCCACCTGGGCTCAGCCCCCCTGCTGGTGGCCATGTTGCTCACCCACCTCAGGGTCTCCCAGAGGTTTCATGTAGAGGACAGAGGTCACAGGGAGAGCCCCCAACCCACTCCAGAGTCCCCCATGTACTGTGGATGCCTCCAGGGTGGTAGTGTGTTGGGGGGCAGCAATTCCAGATGTACGTGTGGGTCTGTGAGGTTAATAGCCACAGAGAGGATAGCACCAGGGCTCAGAGCTGCCAGGGTCCTGCTGGCTCCGACAGGAAGAAACACACAGGTCGAGGTAGATGTTTCTTTTCCTTTATTTAAAAAAATCATTTGGGGTGTGGTGTGAGGAGGGCACACCTTTCATGGCTTCGGGGAGAACACAGTTTCCAGAAGGAATCACGGGCAGAAATACATGGAGAGAACCTGGGGATAAAGGGAGGGGCTGCACCCTCCAGCGCCTCTGGGCAGAGTGCTTACTTAGGGGTTGGGAGGGGTGGGGAGACAGTATGTACAGGTGGGCAGTGCCCCCTGGACCCTATGGGTCAACAGGGACATGACCACTGTGGCTGGCCCACAGCATCGCCCCTCCCAGGCAGACCGGCTGAGGTCTGTGCCTTCAGCTGCAGGGCTGGGAGGAGCTTGGCAGGAAAGCCAACCCTACAGGACCTTGAGCAGTGCAAACCCTCCCATGAGTCCTCCTATTCCCTGGGGCTCAGGCCTACATCCTAGAGGCCGAGGTCAGGGTGGCCTGAGCGCCCCCAGTGAACAGACCAGAATGAAAGGAACAGAAGATCCCAATCAAACGCACTAGAGGCACCCCCACACACCATCTCCTACCAGGTAAATGGAAATCCAAGATGCATTGCCATGTGCAGTTACACAAATATGACGACGGCCTACGTGATCATACCGTCAGGCTACTGGTCAGGCAGCCCTGAGCTGCAGGGATGATGGGCAGGATGCCCACACCCAGGGACCCTCCCCTCATCCCCAGTCTTGAGGGATTGTCTCACAGCCCTACCTGCCCGGCCACCTCCTGGATCCTCTGAACAGGCAGCCACACTCACCACCACAGAGATGCCCAGAAACATAGCCAGGGGTAGACACGGTGTGGGGAGCCTTCTGGGGTTGGTGTGGGACGTGGGGCAGTCCACTTGTCTCGGGTGGCTTCCGGCTACTGTCCTCACAACTGTGTGCGGGCCTGGGCGCCTAGGTGTAGAAGATCACCTCGGGGATCTGGCCATCCTCCACAGACGTGCCATTGTTGTTCCCAGCCGCGTAGCAAAAAGTGAAGCATGTCTTGGCCCCTGTTGTTGGCGACTCGTGGGTCACCTTGCGCAGGCCTTTGGTGCCGTAGTGGGAGTCCGGGCCCTGTGGGGTTGGGGCCATAGTGCAATCAGAACACCCCCCCCCCCC